TTAACAGCTATGGGGTCATACCAATGCTTTTAGTTTCAATCCAAAGTTATGGGTTTCATTCTAATTTTTTCTTTTTCTATTAGTACTTCTCTTCACTGGGAGGTGAGAAATTTGGCTTCCATTATCCCATTATGTGTACTTATTTGACCAATCTCCTGTAGGTATTCATTCCTCAGTTGCCACCATCACCCCACCCCATCCCACCTTGCCCTGCCCATGTTTCAGCACCCTGCTCTGGAACATTCTCTCTTAGATGAATCCCTCCTCACTCTGCTCAGGTCTAGTTCCATGCACTGTGCCCTGACAGCTGCCTGCTTCACATTGTCCAGGCTCTGACAACGTGTAATAGGCTGCTTCCTCTCTACTTCTCACCTCACCACATCCCCAGCCCTATTTTGTATTTTATTTAGAGACAGGGTCTCACTGAGTTGCTTAGTGTGGCTTTGAACTTGTGATCTTCCTGTCAGGCATGGGCCTGGCATACATTTCCTTTTGATTCTGCTTAAGATGGCCTACAAACTGATGTTGGTCTCAATTTATTGCAGCATTCTGATCTAAACTATATATTCTATCTAAGGTAGGCTGTTTGCTTTCAACCAATAGTATGTTTTGTTATTCAGGGCTCCACAGTCTTTTGAGAATAGATTTTGAAAAAGGATTGCTTCGACATTGTTTCTTTAATTAAATCAATTAATTATAGCATCAGAATTGTCAATATGGCACCCACTTAAGTGCAAATTCAGGTAACTTTGTAAAGTTTGCAAGGAATAGATCCCAGGGTTCTCAAGCTGAGCCACAAAAGCAAACTTTCTGGGGATTAGGGGTGTACAGAATGGGTTGTGTTGATTATTGATCTAGTTACCCATTTAATACAATTGTTTGGAAGAATAAAAGTGAATTGATGCTTCTGCAGGTTATAAATACCTACCCCATCTTATTCCAAGAGCACTAAAGAGGGTAAAAAAATAGTACATGTGACAACAATATTTAAATATATGGGTTCTGAAGACAATGTTTTTTTCACTTACAGGTGAAGTTAAAAATAATTAACTATTCTTGAAACTACAGAGAAAGACTTTTCTCCTCTCTAATCTCTGATGTAGTTTAGGAAAAGCACCTTAGACACTTGAAGCTGTGAAACTATGACTTTTATTATGAGATGGTGGTCATGGTATTTAAGAAGGATTAACAGATGTGAAGTAAAGTCTTTTTTGTGGCATACTCATTTGTGATGTCTGGGGTCAAGTCACTGATTTTTTTGGTGACTATCAGTTTGTCTTTCCAGTGTGGATGACAGCTCTGAAAGATGTATTGAGCTAATTTACCTTGACTTTCAGCTATCCCTTTCCTCTAAGTATCTACTAGGAAAGTATGAACAGAGAGCTCTTTGTGAAGTATCTTAGAACTTTTCTCACAGTTTGTATTTTTACATGGAAAATACTTAACCCATAATGAACTAAACCACAACCTGAGACATTCTGGTGGTGCCATATCATCTCTCCTACTTTTTGTGAGTGAAGGTATTTCAGGAGTCCTTAGTAAGACTAATTTATTTGTAAGTTTACTTAGTGACTGGCTAATTATCTTAATAGCTCTGAATCTCACTTCTTCCTCCTGGATTTTCATTTTATAGTGATGTGATCTTAAGCAAGTTACTTAAACTTTCAGTGTCTATTTCCCCAGCTATTTCATGAATATAAAGTTTTTATAAAGATTAAATAAAACAATGTAGATATAGTGGTTCACAGTACCAAGTATAGTCAGCAAGTAATAAATGCTTGCTTTTCTTAGCTATTAAATTCAAGAATCTTACTTTATTTATTTATCTTTTTATTTTGTAATCTTTCCTCAAGGCAGCATATTTGCATCAGCTGAGGGATACTTTAGAGGTTATGCAGTGATTCACAGTGCTGCTCTCTATAGTTGATAGGAAAGGTAATTTTAACAGCTAGTAGTAATGAAAAAAGCCAACTACTAAATCACCAAGATTTGGAAACTTTGAGGCTTCTCTGCACCCTAGGGAATACAAAGATTTAGAGAAATTTTGAATCAGGAAAGAGTGAGAGGAACTTTGTGTAAAAATAGTAGCATACTATATATTCGTGCTAAGCCTTGTTGAAAACTTGCTGCCACTGAAGACACAAATTCATATTTATACAATTAGGTGCAATTATGTGAGTCTCTCAGCAGTACTTGGAAACTAAGAGCAGAGGAATTCAGTAGTTGGGGTAAAGCAGATTTTGATGAAGATATGAAATCTTGAAGACAGTAGTTTGAGGAAATAGAACATAGTGTATGGCTAGGTAGAAAAGGAGGTGAGGGCAAAGAAAGTTTATTATTATTAGGAAACCCAAGATGAAGAGATGAAGAGATGCAAGTACTCATTAGGCTTAAGTACCAAGTACTCATTATTGGCTATAAAGGTTCAAAAGGGTTAACATAATACAAAGCTTTGGTGGGGTTTTATAATTTTAATATTTTAATCTTGGGTGACTTCTTGGTGATAGATATTCATGATTATGATCTACAGTTGTCAGCTTGGTGTTGCTACACTGAAATACCTGAGGTAATTCACTCATAAATAGAGAAGGTTTGTTTAGCTCATGGTTCTGGAGATCCAGTCCAAGACTGGGTGTCCTCATAGCTTTGGACCTCTGGTGAGGCTGCCAGATGCCAACAGCAAGGAGTGTCTGGCCAGCCCAAGTAGATCATATCTCAAGCTAAGAAGCAGAGAGACCAAGAGATTGGGTCAGAGAGTGGGTACAAACCTGGGGGCCAAGCTTTTAAAACATGGGCCTTGGGGGACATTATCCACATTCAAACAATAGAATGGCCTTAAGAGTAGGTGGGAGAGAGAATAAAGGAAGGGTACTAGAGTTGAAGAGGTTGAACTGCAAAGTCAGAGTGTTCAATGGATTATCTCTTCTTGTCTCAGAAGTTCCCCAGAGTTTTTAGTTCCTGTCTGAGAGACTAATCTCTAACCCAAGGCATGGGAGCCAGAAGGATCTTGGTCTTCAAATGATATCCTGTTTGCTAGAAAAAGGAGAAAAAGAAGGAGGAAGAGGAAAGAGAAGAGGAGCACAAGATTCTTCTGGAAAGAGTCTTGAATGGGAAAACGAGGGAAGGGGGAGGGGAAAAGAAGAAACAGAAAAAGGAAATGAAATAGTCCCAGACCTTGCAAATACATTTCTACCAAGGCATCCTGCCTGTCATGTTGAAATATTTTTTGTCTCGGGTTGTAATCTTTCTACCTCATGGGAACAGCGTAGTTCCTTGACTTGTCCAGAATGTGTTGTATCATGGCAAGGGGATTGAAGTTTGCAAATGGAAGTAAGGTTGCTCATCAGCAGATGGGAAGGATATTCTGGATAATGAGTGTGGGACCAATGTGACTACAAGGGTCCATGTAGGTGGAAAAGGAAGGGAGAGGTCATGTAAAGACTCCACCCAACGCATGCTACCTTTGCAGACTGGAGAAGAGAGCCCTGAGTCAAGGCATTCAGGTGGCTTCTAGAAGCTGCAAAAGAGCACCCTAAGAGCCTGCAGAAAGGAATGCAGCTTTGCTAACTCCTTGATTTTCGGCTAGTAGGAGCTATTTCAGATCTCTAGAATTTAAGGCAATACATTTGTTTATTAGGTGGCAGGAGTCACATAGGTGTTTTCAGCCACTGAGTTTGTAATTTGTTTCTACAATAGTGGGAAGTTAATACATACCCTTCCAAAAGTCTTGATCTCTCTTTATCCACTGTGAAGTTCTTCCAACCACTTATCCCAGGCCTGGGGGAACTACTTTGCATTTGAGCCACTGTGGTTGACTTGGCCACCTGACTTTATGTAGGATTGGGTGAGCTGGTGTCCCAAACCTCTTTCTGAATTCATGTGGTTGGCTGTCAGCCAGGGAGACCTCCATAAGGAGGCCAAATTCCTCCTGAATGGAGTAAGGATGCCTGTTTCAGCCCAGAAGTGAAAAATCTTGGCTGGACTATCCTAGTAAATTCTCTAGATGCCTGGCAAGCACCCTGGTTTGTGGCATTCTCTCACAGCTTGAGCCTCAGAATAGACACTGGCCCACCACAAGCAGATTGGATAGATACCTTCCTGAGATACCACTTTTCTTTTGAGTGAACCGAGGTGGGCTAGGAAAGATGAGATTTTCAAAGTAGAAAAGCATGCGCTGACCTGCAGACTAGATGGTCTCACAGCCATTTGCCCTAGTCACCTCACTGTGCAGATGATGGGGACTTGTCCAGAGTCAAGCTAGCAAATTAGCTGGGACCATTTCTCTTTGTGTGACTTGGCAAAGAGGAAAACTGACTATTAGTTTTCAAGTGGGTGTCTTGGAAGAGGATCCTGGAGAGGTCAGTGCTGGTGAACAGTCAGAGAGAGCATTGGCCGGCCGAGCAATGTTAGAAAAAGTTAAGGAACTGGGCAGAAAAGCAGGCAGCGCGGAGCTGGGGAGGACAAGGGACTTGGGTCCCCAGTGGTTCATGATCATACTCAACATTTGCGAGGGGATGGCCTGGGGGCCTCAGTTAGCAACTTCCTCCAGTGCGGTTCAGGGTGGATCTCCCGGGTCTCCCCTATTTGGCCCGCCTGGGCTCTGGGCTGGGCGGGAGGAGTGCGGGGGTGGGAGTCCTGGAGGAAGATGCACGGAGCTGGCTGCAGGCCGCGCGGGCGGGGTGCAAAGGCAGAGGGGTGGGGATCTGGGGTGGGCTGCGCCCTCCCGCTCCCACCCACTCCACACCCCGCCGAAAGCAGACACTGTCAGCTGATTCACTCCCCTTTCAGGAGGAGGGAGGGGAAAAAGGTACCTAGCCCCTTTCTGCTTAAAAAAAAAAAAAAAAAAACTAAAGGGGGATCAACAGCAGCTTTGCAGCCGCTCCTTCCCCACGCCTGGACCATGCACCCCTGCATCTTCCTGCGCGGCCACAGGCGAGCCCTTGATTTTGGGAACTGAGGGCTACAACTTTTTGACTCTCCTTCTCCCTAACAACTGAATCATGCCATGTGCCCAGAGGAGCTGGCTTGCAAACCTGTCCGTGGTGGCTCAGCTCCTTAACTTTGGGGCGCTTTGCTATGGGAGACAACCTCAGCCGGGCCCGGTTCGTTTCCCAGACCCGAGGCAAGGTCAGTGGCTTTTCTTTCTTTCCTTTTAAAACAGTGGTGGTGAGACCTGCGGAAACTTGCTCGCTCCTTTCTCCCTTCCCCCACCCGGTGGAGCTGAACCCTGCACACCGCTTTCTGCCCAGTTTAAGGAAACCTGGGCTGGGAGCTCAGTGGGTACGCTTGCCTTTCTCCGGAGCCAGCATTTGGGGGAGGAGGTAATTCCCACTGAAAAGGCGAGTGTCCCGCGCCCTTTCACACGGATGACACTGCGATCTTTGAAAGACTCAAGAGTTAGCTGGCGACTTCTCTCTCTCTTTTGTCTTCTCTTTGCTGCTTTGTTGCAACCTCCTATTTCTCAAATTCTGAACATAAAAAAAAAAAAAAAAATCCGTTTTTTAAAGAAGTTCCAACTGGGCACCGGCGGTCAGTGCAGTGTTTCTAGTTAGTCTTAAACTCCTGGTCAGGGAAGGGGAAATGTGATTCCGCCCTCCTGCTGAGCACGCTTGGCTGTGTTTTGATTTCCTGGAAAGATTTAGGGTTGTATTTTTAAAATAACAGCCTTTGTGGGGGGAATTTACCTCTGAAGGGGTTCACTGTTCCGGTCCTGCCTGGCAGCTGGCTGGTTCTCCTTTTGAAGATTGTGAAATGCATGTTATAGAAACCATTGGAGGCGGTGTGCTGGGTAGTTTGTTATTTTTAAAAAATATATTTTTATTAGTTGTTGATGGACCTTTATTTTATTTATTTATATGCGGTGCTGAGAATTGAACAGTTACTCACACATGCTAGGCAAGCACTCTACCATTGAGACACAACCCCAGCCCGTAGCTTGTTATTTTTAATATTATTTTTTTTTAAACCTAAAGCTTGGAGTCAGGTGGTACTGTGGCCTCTGCTCCCCCCACCCCTTTGGACTCCTAAGGTCAGAGACATTTTTTTTTCCTATTTGCTGGAGAGTTTATTGTACCTCTGGTGAAGAAAGAGCAACAGCAATGGCCTGTGTGTATCTGCCCATCTGACCACTAGCTGAAGCCTTCAGAGTGCAGGAACCTTTGCTGCACTCAGCCCCTACTTCATTGATGGGGAAGCTGAAGATTGGAGGGTTTATGAGCCCTGCTAATGGTAGAGCAAGGTTTTGAACTGGAGCCTGATTCCTACAATGCTGCAGCACTACCCCATTGAAATATTAGGAATAACACTCACCACCCCTCCCCCACCCCAAGCACTCAGTTAACATTCATTAAGTCCCGTGTTTGCTAACTGTGGTCAGGTCTTGGGAAGGATTCTTTTGCGACAACCTTTTAATTCCCAGAACCACTTGGGTGACAAACTTTGCCAGCTTGTTCAAGTTTAGGGGATGTCTAGGCTGGGTTTTCTGCCCACGTTGCAATGTTCAAATTCTGCTGGGGAACTGGACAACTGCAGCTTTGAGAGCTATCTGATGCAAGTCCCTCCCTCCCTTTGCTTTACTTGGAAGCTGGAGCCCGCAAACACTGGGGTGAGATGTCAATCAGCCAGCAGTGGCTTGTGTAAACGGTGGAGATATAATCTCCCACCCCCAAGTTTAAAATAGCAGCGCTTGTTGTTCTTTGAAAAACAGTCCCTTTGTGAAAAGTCTCTCTTCTGAGGCAGCACAAACAAAGCCTGCAAGCACTTCCCAGGGCATTTGGAGAGGATCTGGTTCAAAGACATACATTCTCCTGCACTGGTTTCAGCCCCACTTGCTGCACATCTTTTTAAGGGAATTCAGCCTGGTATAGAGTGGACCCCTCAACCTTACTGGTTCCTCTCTGGAAAGTGAGAAGGGAGTCTTTTCCCTAGTCACCTGAGGATATTTAATATTGAAAATCAACATAAAGTGCTTCAGGTTTATTAGTGATGCATATGTATTTAAATTTTAAAATAATTTCTGTTTTTAAAAGGCGTTTCACCAATCTTAATTCATTAATGGATTTACAAACAGTCCACTCTTGGTGCTAAGGAGAAATTTCTAAGCAGACTTCCATTTAGAACAAAGGGGTAGAAAGAGGAGAGACTTAGGAGAAGACAGGAGAGGGTGAACTCTTCTCTATAATTATAAGGGGATTCTAAAGTTTCCAGGGAATAGGGTGACCTAGATTTTGCCCCCAAATGACATTCCATTTCCACTCTGACAACATTTTTTAATTACACTAAGATCCTGAATATGTCACCTTGCAAGCTACTTCAGAAATCATCTCACTTAACCTTCTCATCTTTATTTTTACAGATGAGAAATGGGAGGCCTAGGTGGTTAGTCGGAGTCAGGATGTATTTTTTGAGCAACTACCAAATTCCACTTCACTAGGGGGTTGAAGCAGGCAACACAGGGTCTCATAGTTGGAAACAGATCCAGATAATCCACATATTAGATAATCTTGAAGGGTCCTTCTAGTTCCCAGGGTTGACCAAAGATAAAGCAAATCCTTTCAGGGACTAGAAGCCAGAAGATTCCACTAACTCTGCTCAGTAGTTTCTCCACATCACTCATTTCTGATGTAAGAATGTACTATGACTTTTTCAAGGTTTTTTGATTCACAACGAAGTACCAAAACAAAAGGAAAAACTAACCTTGTGCATAATATATTGCCTTTGTTCTACAGCCAATAATATCCCCTTAGGTTTATTTATTTCTGTACAAATGCTCTCAGTATACAGCGGTGTTCCATTCTGATGAACCCATTGAAGTTGAAAGTATCCTAACTTGAAAATGTACTTAATGCACCAAAACCTCACCTACATCCCAGCTTAGAAACACAATATACTACCAGGTGGCTGTTTCTGCCTGTGGTTGTGATGCCTCTGGTTACAGGTGACAAGTCCCACATGTTGAAGTTTGAACATTAGAGAAGCACGCAGAGGCAAGCATATAAAGCAGGGTTTATTTAAAAAAGGGGTAACATAGACTTCTCCCAGAGGGAGGAGGGGGCCAGACCTGGTATCCTGGTATCCCAAGAAGCAAGGGTGTTCCGTCTTTTTATAAGTCTTAGACTTCCTTTGTTCTCCTGCTCTCTTCCCCTTATCTTTCTCCTTCCTGCACAGTGACTAGGTCCAGGGGATGTTTGGTGGGGTTACCAAAAGGTGGGAAACAGGTGGCTGAAGGGGCAAGGGCAGGATGTAGCAGCCCAGGACACATTAATTAACAACTTTTACTACTCAATGTAGAAGAGGCAATTCCTGGGACAGGTTACTTTAGCGACAGGTTGGAGCAGGAACAGGTTCTTGATAAGGGTGGAGGAGGGCCTCTGAAGGCATTTCAATTCCTCAGGGGACAGTCTCCGACTTCCTGGACTCGCTCAAATTGGCCTCCTTGATTTACCTATCTATACTGACTGTCTGTCTAATTCTGGCTTCAGTTGTGTGGCTGACTGGGAGTTGGGGCTTGCTGCTGCTGCTGATCATCATCAGAAAAGAGTATCATAACCAAACATCACTGGCTCTGGAAAAAAATAAAATTCAAAGTAGTTTCCACTGAATGCCTATTGCTTTTGCACCACCATGAAGCTGACCATTGAAAGTCAGGGACCCTCTACAGGGTTAACAAGGCACCAGTCATTTCCATGGTCTGTTTTGCTCTTGACAATCTCATGCAATCAACAGGGCAGGCACTTTATCCCACGTTAAAGATGTGCTCCAGGGTGCACAGGCTTGCATAAGAACAGATGGAGCCAGGCACCTGAGGCAGGAGGATCTCGAGTTCAAAGCTAGACTCAGCAAAAGTGAGGTGCTAAGCAACTCAGTGAGACCCTGTCTCTAAATAAAATAGAAAATAGGACTGGGGATGTGGCTCAGTGGTTGAGTGCCCCTGAGTTCAATCCTTGGTACCCACTCCCCCCCCCCCCCCAAAAAAAAACCCCACAAAACAGAAGGAGTATTGCAGTGTTTCAAGACAAGAGCTATGATCATTTATTTATGCTACTTGCAAAAAAAATTTTTTGCAAGAAGCAAAGGATTCTAGATATTTTCTTAATGTAAGAAGAGACTTTGCAGTTTCATTTTGTTAATTATAGTAATCTTGTCTGGTGGGCAGATGAGTTTTCATAGGGTTGGTGGGCAAATCCAATCTTCTGTGGAGAATTCTATAACTTCGAAGGGACTAACATGATTCTCCACAACTTGTCAACATAAGTCAATATCTATAACAAAAATACAGTTGTATGGTTATGATAACCCATGGAAGATAATTATGAGAACAAACCTCTTGTTATGGGCCAGGCTACATAGACAATGACCAATCAGATTCCATTTTACACTGAGACTTCATATCACATAAGAAATGCTTCTCCCACCAGAAAGCCCCATCTCTGTACCCATTAATAGTTACCTAGCATAACATACTTGGCAACACAAAATAGCAATTCTTATACAATGTAAAATTGTTCTCTTTGCTTTCCATTTTTCTTGGGCAATGTACCTTTTCAGAGATTTATTGTCTAGATATTAGTAACCATTGTCTAGTGTGTACTGAACTAGGGTCATTTTGACCCCCTTCCCTTCTGCTTGCTTGTTGCTATGCCAACCTGGAAAGTCCTGTGGGAAATACCCATGTACCCATTGCACTGTCTTGCTAACTGCCCAATTCAACTTCTTTACCTGCTTGCTTGCAGCTTTGGCAACCCAGATATGGTTTTTGCCTTTAAATATCCTAAAATGCTCAGGCTTGGGGCTGTTCCCTCTAGAGACAGTTATGGGTCCTGTGCGGGGCAGTCACCGGCTGGCCGGCTAAATAAAAGACTCTTCAATTTGGACAACTGGGACTTGGTGTGTTTCCTGAGCCATCTGCCCCACAACACTCTAGACTGTTACAGGAATTTCATTACTTTGTTTAGCAAGGGGGTCTTAGAAAACCAATTGATCTTTTAGATAAAAGTAAACATAAAGAATAAGTACAGATTGTCCTGCGTCAACAAAGTTCCAAAATGGGCACTATACAGAGATGAGCATGGCCACTATATAAGGATGACACAGAAATTGGTGGAATGTTTCATAAAAAAGAGCAACCT